CAGCCCATTTGTCCCAAAGGCCCTGTTTGCAGCAGAGCTAGTACTCTACAGACAATGAGTACAAGGTGGCCAGACCCTTTGCTGGGCCCAGTCAGCACAGCTCCATGGTGGAGCCATTTCAAACAGTGTGACGCTAACGTGCACCAGGGAAGTTCTGGGACACGCCAGCAAGGGCCAAGTGGGCCCGTTGGTGTGAGACATGCTAGTGCAGACTAAATGTACATCCCTCTGGTGTGGAGTAAAGCACCGTGTAGACGGGACCCATGTCTCCCAAGCCCCAGGCCAAGGCCCTAACCACTGGACCCTCCTTCCATCCCAGGAGACCAAGTCTTGTCCTCCCCTGAGGGACGAACAAACATCAGTCCATTGATCTAGCTATGCCAGGTCTCAAACCGGGGTTTGGGAGTGGCTGAGGCAGGTCTACAGGCGTCAACAGGGATTCCTGGCAGCCTTCAGGGAGCTCCCCAGGCTTTGGGGGTACAAGGGTAAGATGTCCCACTCTTGCAGAGGCACAATGTGTGTCACAGAAACAGGCTAACGGGAGGGCCGTTGTATCTGTTTGCCTCCCTGGGAATGTCTGCCCAGCCCATGGCAGTGAGCCTCCCAGCCTGGGGCAACCGACTCGGGTTAGCGGGGCTTGCACTAGAGCTCCCAAAACAGCTGTGTACACGGCACTTTGAAGTTGCAGCTTGGGCTGGATCTGAGGCTGTGAAGCCTAGGGAGGGGGCTGCTGCCCAGGGCTGTGTACACATACCCACAGGGGCCAGCATGGGAGGATGTTTGTAGGACTGTTTATGACTGAAATATAAAAAGCAAACATTAAAAGTCTCTGAATCAATACCAGGTGGCAGAGGGAGAACATGGTTTCCAGAGCATGACAGACCATTGTTTTTCAAGCTCTCAGACGGTGGTTTCCCCAAGAATTGAAATTAGTGGGAGGGTGTTCGAATTTACAGGGTGGGGTGTCAGGGCCGATGAGATATATAAAAGAGATATGAATAAAGTAAATGTTTTGTTAGGATAATGCAAATTTAACATAAGGATAATGCAAGTTACACCAAAACACATAACAGGTCTAGATTTCTAAAAATATATAATTTAAAAAAAATGTATTTAATTTAAATTGACTTTTGAAAAGTAAGCCATCATGGAATAAGAGGGAAGTCCTCTCATGGATCAGTAACTAGTTAAAAGATGGGAAACAAAGGGTAGGAATAAATTATCAGTTTTCAGAATGGAGAGAGATAAATAGTGGTATCCCTGAGGGGTCGGTACTGAGACCATTACTGTTCAACATATTCATAAATGATCTGGAAAAATGGGTAAACAGTGAGGTGGCAAAATTTGCAGATGATACAAAACTATTCAAGATAGTTAAGTCCCAGGCAGACTGCGAAGAGTTACAAAGGGATCTCACAAAACTGGGTGCCTAGGCAACAAAATGACAGATGAAATTCAATGTTGATAAATGCAAAGTAATGCACATTGGAAAACAATCTCAACTATACATACAAAATGATGGAGTCTGAATTAGCTGTTAACACTCAAGAAAGATCTTGGAGTCATTGTGGATAGTTCTCTGAAAAGATCCACTCAATGTGCAGTGGCAGTCAAAAAAGCAAACAGAATGTTGGGAATCATTAAGAAAGGGATAGATAATAAAACAGAAAATATCATATTGCCTCTATATAAATCCATGGTATGTACACACCTGAATACCGTGTGCAGATCTGGTCACCCCATCCCAAAAAAGATATATTGGAATTGGAAAAGGTACAGAGATGGGCAACTAAAATGATGATTAGGGGTATGAAACAGGAGGAGAAATTAAAATGACTGGAATTTTCAGCTTAGAAAAGAGATGACTAAGGGGGGATATGATAGAGGTCTATAAAATCTTGACTGGTGTGAAGAAAGTGAATAAGGAAATGTTATTTAATCCTTCACATAACACAAGAACTAGTAGTCACCCAATTAAATTAATAGGCAGCAGGTTTTAAAAAAAAAAGGAAGTACTTCTTCACACAACATAAAGTCAGCCCATGGAACTCTTTGCTAGGGGACGCTGTGAAGACTAAAACTATAACAGGATTAAAAAAAGAACTAGATAAACTCCTGGAGAATAGGTCCATCAGTGGCTATTAGCCAGGGTGGGGAGGGATGCAACACCATGCTCTGAGTATCCCTAGCCTGTTTGCCAGAAGCTGGGAATGGGCAACAGGGGATTACCTGTTCTGTTCATTCCCTCTGAAGCACCTGGCCTTGACCACTGTCAGAAGACAGGATACTGGGCTATATGGACCATTGGTCTGACCCAGTATGACCATTCTTATGTAAACATTAATTATAATAAAAATGTTTAGTATAGAAACTCCCCAACATAATGACCTCTCAAGATATCAACAATGTGAGATAACAACCTTGGCAAATAATGCATTTTAAAAATCTTGGCCTACTAGGAAACATATTTATATAAGTTTCCATTCCCAGTAACAAATATAGCATTCTGGAGCAAAGTCATTAAAATATAGTCCAACAAACGTTTATTTAACGTGCCCCTCACTTTTCCCTCCACTGCACCGCACTCACCAGTGTTGTCCTTGGTCAGTGGAGACTGAGTACATCTCCCAGGTGGGGGACAAGAAGACACCTTGCTTGTTCCTCCAGCTGTTCACTGTTTGCTCTGGCCACGGCTGTTCATTGTGCCACCACTCTGTTGCCAATGACCCTGCACAGTCACCTTCTGCTGCCACCTGCCACTGTGACCTCTGCGAGTTGGTCTCTTGAGGTTCCACCCAGCTCTCAGTGAATTCAGCTGAGCTCTCAGTGGGGGAACCTCACTGCTAGTGCAGTCTGGACTGTCTCTTCCCCAGAAACACTGTCCCCACAGCAGGACTAAGCACTTAGACCTGATTATCAGTGATTTCAGCTGCAGTGGTCACTTAACAGAACAAAAGTCTATCTATGGAGTCTAATCAGCTCGGTCTTTAAACAGTGGAGAGGGACAGGTCCCCACCCTCTCTCTTGATGCCCTCAATCAGCACAGGCTAAGTACAGTTCTACTGCCCTTTACTCATACAATAAGACCAACAACATTTCCCTTCTCTCCCCTCCCCCCCGCATTCAAGTGGATTTGTAACCCAACCCCAGCCAAAATCTATCACTTGGGCAACACAGCTCTGTTTGCTGGATACCTAGGTAGATTAGGTGTGAATGTAAATACAATCTAGTCCTGAAGCCTTTCCCCCCAGCCCCAGCTCATCACTAGCTGTCAGGAAGAGCTCATTTAGACTTTGCTTACAAATCATAATTTGAAATTATTAGGTTGGCCAACATCACCGAAATGAATGCACTGACATTGTCATAAAAAAACCCAACTGCTGTATAAGGAAGCTAGTCTATGTTCATACTTTTCAAATTTATTATACTTTTTCAGATACACGTATTTTATCATACACTGTATATTGTGACAGGGCAAGGCCAGATAGCTATAGAAAAGTAGTGGAAGATAGATATATTAGCCCCAGGTTAAACAAATCCCTGATACCAGGTGTGGCAAAGTACCTTCTTCTCCTCAGCAGGCTCAGTCCTTTTTAGCCTTGGAGACTCAGGCTTGGGCAAAGCAAATCTTCATAGGTAGCACAGGGTCTGGCTATACCTTCCTTCAGTCAGTCCCGTGTGCTCATTTTTCTTTCCTTCTGGGGACAGAGTGCAGCCTTCCTTGCTGGAAGGGTTCAGAGCCTTGCTGCACCTAGCACCTTCCCTGCTTCTCTCACTCTCTTCCCCCCCACGCCGGGGAGGGTTTAAAAAGGTCTCAAGCAGTTGGAGTCAGCTGAACCTAATTAGTTCCCTGGTAACCCCTTTTCCAGCTGCACCTTATTTCCCCGTGGTTATCTCCCCTCAGTGGATTGGGAGAGGCCTTTTAACCCCCTGGGACTAATTACTACCCACCCCCCTTTGTAGCTGTTTGTCCTGGGTTTGCCACACAGGATAAGTAAATGGCAGCTGCTCCAGGTCAATTAAGACACCTGGGGCAAATTAATAGCTTTCCAGAAGGCAGGGAGGATGCTAGGTTGATTGGGACACCTGAAGCCAATCAGGGGCTGGCTGAAACTAGTTAAAAGACTCCCAGTTAGTCAGGTGGGCGTGCATGTCAGAAGCTGTGAGAAGTTGTGCTGTTGGAGAGACTGAGCTGTACACATCATATCAGGCAAAAGGAAGAGGCCCTGAGGTAAGGGTGAAGTGGAGCTTGAGGAATTGGGGGCTGCTGTGGGGAAGTAGCCAAGGGAATTGTATGCATCCTGTTTGTAAAAGGTCAGCTACCATAGCTGATACTATTAGGGTCCTTGGGCTGCAGCCCCGAGTAGAGGGTGGACCTGGGCTTCCCCTCCCCCCGATTAATCACTGAGACTGGGAGACAACAGATACTGTGCAAGGGAGAGTGCCACAAGTACTCCTGTTCTTTTTTCACGTGTTAGCCAAATGGGCTTGTTTCCCCCTGGAGCTGCCCAATTACCCCAAGAAGGCACGGGAGTTTAGAAGACGGCTTCAAGTTCTTTATTGATCAGTTGGCTGAGTGGGTGCTCCCCTCGGCTAGTGCCAGAGAGAGAGACACACCTTACAAGCGCAAAGCAGGCCTTTTTATACCCAGTAACAAACAACTTAGCGTGCATACATTCTGCTAACCTATGGAATTTTTAAATTCCTTTCTAGGGGTAAATAGGATATATCTGTTGGACCTCCTTGATTGATTATTCTTCTGGGGGTCTTCAGGATGCATATATCCGACTTCCTTGATTGATTGTCTTGCTATACATATATCCGGGAAACGGGGCTATGGCCATGGGGAAACAGCTGGGATAATAGGCGAGTAGTTGACCTTTGCTCTAACAAGTTTCAGAGTAGCAGCCGTGTTAGTCTGTATCCGCAAAAAGAAGAACAGGAGTACTTGTGGCACCTTAGAGACTAACAAATTTATTAGAGCATAAGCTTTCGTGTACTACAGCCCACTTCTTCGGATGCATCTAAGTCTCTAAGGTGCCACGAGTACTCCTGTTCTTCTTTTTGCTCTAACAAGGTTCTCCCCCCTTAAAAACATTTTGAGAGCTCTACGGCCCCCAATCCTCAGCTTTTACCGGCTGATATAGTGCCATCATTCGTTGGTGTACAATTTGATTAGTCATTCGTCGGATCAATGCAACTAGGCAGGGAGCAAAGCAAGCTAGCATTAATAGAGCTATAATAAAGAGTACAAAGAGGAGAAAACCTTTCCGAAGCCAGTCTAGTTGTGGTAACCAGGAAGTAAACCAGTTCATATTCCACCCTCCCCAGGTCTGAACAGGGACATGGGCTAACTTTCTCATTTCCTTTGTTAGTTGTTTTACCGCTTTCCCATTATCGTCAATTTGCAAACAGCAATTAGACTCATTTAATTTTGCACAAACCCCTCCTTCCTCTGCTAGTAAGTAATCAAGGACTATATGGTGCTGGTAGATCGCATTCCTTATTTGGGTTGATTGATCAGCCAAGAGATCAAGAGCTGCGGCTGTTTGGTTCGTTAGGATCTCCAAGACAGCCTGTAACCTAATTATTCGGTTTAGGTTATAAATGGGTTCTCTGGCCCCGGATATTAACTCATTAGGATTCCAAGTGGCCGGTCCATAATGCTGTATAATCCTTTCGGGAGGCCACTCCTGAGCCCCCCAGGTTTGGGAGCTTCCGGCAGTCAGGGTGGAATCCACGAACTGCCTTTCCCTAATTAAATCATCATATACTTTAATTCCCAATTTATTTCCCTGCATCTGGGGTAATAGAAAGAACAAGGGTCTTATATATCCCACATAACATATCCCAGACCAATTTGGAGGCAATCTTCGGTAGGCATAGGACCCGCAGATCCAATAATGGCCCTTTAGAGCCCAGGTTCCATTAGCAAAGGGGCCATCCCAGGTTTCCTCGTTTTCATCGTCCTCTAGATGGTCAAAATATAAAGGATTGCCTGGCCCCAAAGGTCCCCCCACCATTCCATCAGCTGAGCTGCAATAATCACATCTCCACGCCCCAGCTCCTGCTTTCCAGACACAATCGCAGCCCCATTTTGGCCGATTGGTGTTAGACCAGAATTGTTTAAAACCCCATACTCTAGTTCCATTTTGATTCTGCCATGCCCATTGAAACCACCGTACCACGTGGTCCTTGCTAGTGGTATTGGCTAGCTGGCAACTCGTGAATAGGCCATCGAAGAACCCATCCTGTCCTACTGCCCTGCAACCTTCGGCCGTAGGGTAGTATTGTTTGGAGCATTTCACCCAACTATTATTGGTGAGCTTCACATGGGTCTGGTTCCATCGCCCCTGATATTTAGAACAATCATACGGACGACAATAAGGGTCCCAGCAATCAAACCCTGGGGATAGAGTCCAATCACACTTGCTTTCTCCCAAGTACACTCCCTCCCGTCTTGTCTGATTAAGGCAGAGACTACCCATTCCAGAAGAATACAGTCGCCAGGGGCTACTATACTCAGTCCAAACCCCCGTTCCATCGTGGACTATACTCAAATTGCTGAGCCACCATTTGGGCTGTACCGGCTGGGCTACCCAAGGCCATTCATCTAATTCCCCTGGGCCTCCGCATACCCAACAGTTACTGAGGTTAAAGGATTTTGCTGTTGTCTCCCCAAGCTGTAAAAGCCTATTTTCCCAACCATAATAGTGGTGGAAGCACATAAACAAAGATATTAACAATAATTTCATTATCTTTTTCTAAACAGTCCCTTTAGTCCGTCCAAGTACTGATACTCCCAGGTGGAGTCTTCACCTGTGCCACCCCGGGCGTCCAGAGCCGGGGCGGGCAGAGGGCTGGTGTCCTCTTCCGCTAGTTCAGTCTCTGGGTTAGGGTTCAGAAACCGCTTTACCTGCGTATGGTGAGTCCATTTGTCGCTCCCAAGAACTTTGACTGCAGCTTGGCTGATGAGCGAGACAGTGTGCGGGCCGTCCCACCATGATGTAAGGGGGTCACGCCTCCATTTCTTGACAAGGACCTGATCACCGATCTGGAACGGGTGGACGGGCTGGTCCAAGGGAAGGGCTTGAAAAGGCACTGCGTATCGATGCAGCTGTAACAAAACAGATTGCAACCCGGAGACCTGTTTCCATAAGGAGTCCTTCCCCATTTCCCAGTTTACATCCTCCCGGAACCCTGGGATAAGGATTCGGGGAGGGAACCCAAAGACCAGTTCAAATGGTGAAAGCTTAAGACCCTTACGTGGGGCCCTTCGAATGCGGGTAAGGGCGAGTGGTAACGCATCAAGCCACTTTAAACTAGACTCTGTGCATAGTTTAGTGAGGGTATCCTTGAGAGTTCTATTCATTCTTTCCACCTGACCCGAGCTCTGCGGCCTCCGGGGGTATGCAACTTCCATTGTATACCGAGTGCCTGGGACACCTGTTGGACCACTTGTGAGGTAAAGTGGCTTCTCTGATCAGATTCAATCGTTTCGGGGAGATGGAATCGGGGAAGTATTTCATGCAACAGGGCCTTAGTAACAGCCCGGGCCTGGCAATGCCGGGTGGGGTAACACTCTACCCATCCCGTAAGCTGATCCACAAATTCAAGCAGGTATTTATAGCCCCTGCAAGGGGGCATTTCTGCAAAGTCAACCTGCCATCTCTGAAAAGGGTACGTGGCCCAGGGCCGGCCTCCCATTGGGGCGGGAGGGCCACACCCCTTTTGGTTAAAAGAAGAACAGGAGTACTTGT